TAAATGCATACACAGTTTTTATAAATTGTTTTTATATACACAGTGCATTCAAACATGCACAGTTTAAAACACTTGCATTTTCTGAAGTCTTGTCTCTCTTTTCATTAGTTGCTTTGTTTAGCAGGGGTTTCATTAACACAGACAAATGTGGAACACAATGGCAACTTCAAGCATTCTATGTATGGTGAATGGGTTTGGAACAAACAAAAACACAGTAATCATCTGAATCACACATAAAATGGTGTATTGGGATTAGGGTATTATAAAGGGATACATCTTTTTTATAAGTTTTTTTTTTTTTTGGACAGGGATAGAGAGCAATTGGGGGGGTAGAGAGCAGATCGTTATGATTAGCTGAAACCTCCATGTTGCACATTACAGTCAAACCAATTATTAATCTAAATCACATTAGTAGGGCAGTTGCCATTATCTAAAAGGCATATCTTTCAGAAATGGAATCAAATGCTGATTCATTTCGATTTCATTTAAATGTCCTCAATTCTTATGAATGGACCTTGCTGTACAATAACAGCAAATAACGAACTGCTGTTATCAAAACTATTCTCAAACATGCCATTTTGTTCTTGATTATAGAAGTTATTCTATATTATGATTTTGTGTTCAGTAAACAAACACACGAATGCCTTCAGCCTGAAGGGAGATATGAATATCACAATGCTCTAGCCTAACACATAAACTGCACTTTAACAGTAGTGGATTTTTAAGCGCTGTCAAAAAGATCCACAATCATTTTGTACGACAAGAAAACTCTTCAGAGGTGGGCTTCCCATCAGAGAAAACTGCCAACATCGGTGAGAACGGACTGAGATCATATTTCATATCTCATTTTTGCTGTTGGTGAGCAATTCATTCAAGTAGGCCTCTTGTTGCCATGGAGATGGTTAAATCCCTTTAGTACTTCAGTACGACAATACGAGCCAGGATGAACACAATAAGTGCTCCTTACCACTTTGTGCAGAATTGTTGAATTGAAAAATTACTCCAGTCTTAAGTGTCACATGAACACTCTAATATACTGATTTGCTGCTCAAGAAACATCGGCTTTACCATCGCTGAAATAAATTACATTTTAAAATATATTATTATATTAGTAAATATGGCATATCGAGTATATATTATAAATATATAAATATAGTCTGTATTAGTAAATATAGTATTATATTTCACAGTATTACTGTTTTTATTTTATTTATTTTTATTTAACAAATTGGCCTTGTATACACCAGTGTTGTACGTATGTATGATTTAGAAATAATTTATAAATCATACATATATTTATGTATGTATATTTTATGTATATATTTTAATATATTAATTTTTAATTGATTTAATTCATATACGGTATATAATATGACAATAAAAGGAATACTATCTACTGATCTACAGTACAGTACAGACAGACAGACAGACAGATAGATAGATAGATAGATAGATAGATAGATAGATAGATAGATAGATAGATAGATAGATAGATAGATAGATATTTACATTTATTTTGTACCTCCACCCATATGTGAAATATTTCTGACATGGTCACTACTACAGTGATTTTGTTAAAATAACTTCATTTATTTTGAGAATAAATAACTTCCATATTTCTTTCTGACCACAGATCTCTTTGATGATGGTCTGCCTGCTCCAGCTCAGGCATATCTGAAAGTGTGTTCTGCCATGTCTGAGATGGGTCTGAATGACATGAAACCTAGCAGCACCCCTGCAATCCTCTCTTCTCAAGAACAGGAAGTGCTGTCTTCTTCTGGCACCACAGTGCAGAGGAGGAGCGTGTTACGAACTGAGGAAATAGTAAGTATTTTAATAGAACATAATTGTTTTTTTTGTTTTTTTGGTTTAGTCTTCTCCATGCAGCATGTGTGAACAAGACACTGTAAACTAAATCAGTGTTTCTGACCCTTGTCTTATGTAACGCTTCATCCACACCACACCAGAAATGTGTTTCGTTTGACTTATTATACAGAAAATAATTGATCATTATTATTTATTTTTATTAAAGTGGACAGTAATACAATTAATACAATTATGCACACTGATTAAAACAATTGATATTGTGCATGAAAAACAGACCAGTGTTATTTTAATATCATTGAGATACTATTATGTTTATTCATATTTGAATTTCTTTTTCTTTTTATATTTTTCATTTTAATCTCATTTAAAGTTTTTGTTTTGTTGTAATTTTTTTGTCAATTTTTCAAAAAAAAAATTAATACATTTTATCTCAGTTTTAGATTTAATTATTTTAGTACAAGTTTAAACTAAATTAAAATGTGAAACGTTGCATTGAAAACTATAGCTGAAATAAATAAAAAATTTGGAAATAAAATGTGACCTTTTGATTATTTATCTGAGAAATGCGATAGGTTGTCTAAGCAATTGAGGGAAAACTGTAATTAAATGTTAAAAAGATCATCATTATGTCATAATAATTATAATCTTTCAATGTCATCATTAGACCAAATGGCAGGACAACCGGATGTCCACCAAGCAAGTGACCATCACTGTGACTCAAAGTATCCGGCAGGTGGATAAGAGCGGGAAGATCAAGGAAACATCACAAACCACCTACGAGGTCATGAAACCTGTGGATGGTTTGATGGACGCAGTAGTTGACTCATTGCCTCAATGAGGTGTTTCCCAAGACCTCATGAAGACTGTATCTTGGGTTTCAGGAAAGCTTTGGTGAAGATGTCAGGGACCAAAGAAGTAAAAAGCAGGGATGACCTAAATGAAGAAGTTCATCAGTGCTGTGCTTAACGGGTTTCAAGGGTCAGTTAATTGTTAGTTTCATTGTTCAGTTCCACTAGACTGATTTAAAGGGGTCCTATTATGCTTTTTCACTTTTTCAACTTTAGTTAGTCTGTAATGTTGCTGTTTGAGCATAAAAAAGATCTGCAAAGCTCAAAGTCCAATTCAAAAGGAGATATTTTATTTAACAGAAATCACTTTTCAAAAACTGCAACGAACGACTCGTTTGGACTACAACGCATATTTTCCGGGATTTGTGATATCACAAATATCGACAAATGGGACGAGACCTGGTTGAGCTGCACTAGAGAAGGCAACGAGTGTTATCACTATGTCGGAGACACGCTAGCTTTCTCAAGGCAGACGAACTTAGAGTGATTACAATCATCCGGGTTTAAATGGAGCTCAAATAGATTTGATTTTGACACAATATTTAGGCGCCGAGTGCTGCCAATCACAGCACACACTGGCCCAGCTAACCAGTCACAGCATATTTCGTATTTCAGAAGGCGGGCCTTCATTTGATACAGGAACTATTCGAGCCATTCATGCCAGACTGGGGAGAGAGGTATTGTAATAATGTAAAATATGTGAAAAATAATGTGTTTTTCGAACAACCTAGTATGAGAGCCTGTTCTAGTACACCCCCAAAACAAAATCAAAACTTTGTAAAAGAGCATAATAGGACCCCTTTAATAATGTCTATTTTTTATGTACATCTTTCCACTGTATGCCAACAAAAATCTTAGTAAAACCATCTACTGTACTTACACTTAAAGCACAGGATAGGTGGACCCTTAATGACTGGCTGATTGATTTTGTGAAAAGTGTAAAAATTATACTTGCACAGTTAAAAAAAAACATACCAACAACACACATTTTTTCCCAGAAAAAGGGTGACTTGAAGTTGATGCACTGCTTTAATTTTGAAAAATCAGGGCTCTTACTACCACACTATTGTTGCCTTTAGCCTTTTGGGGTACACGTGCAAACATTTGTTCAAAACCTAATTACAGCTTCTGTAGCAAGCTAGCACTACTGCGAAAGGTAGTATGTAAGAATATAAAGCAGCTCTGTTTTGTTATTCCAATATTGTTTTATATGTCACTGCTTTACTGACTGGAAGATGATGTTTATTGTTGAGTAATTAAATATCTATTGTGGTAATTTGGAAGTGCATAATAACTATTACTGTATCCCAATCTTTCTCTTGCTTCAGTCTCTGAATTAACATTTTACAAAAAGGTTCTATATATTAACATTAATTAATTAGGCATTATGAAGTAACAATGAACAATACTTTTACAGCATTTATTAATATAGGTTCATGTTAATTTTTACATATACTAATATTTTTATTTTATATTTATTACTCATTTGTAAACAATAACATCAGGTACACTTGGCATAGGTTATTATTGTGAATTCAAATTTTTTTTAATTTAAAGACATTTGAAAATAATTGGCATTAAATCGGTTGATTTTGAAAACAGTTAAATAAAATCAGTTAAAAAGTATGAATATGGTTCAAATAATGCTAGTTGTGGAACAAGCAAGATTCAATTAGTTCAACTGTATGCAATTAATACATTTAATTGAGTGATGAATTTATAAACCTGGTTATTGCGCATTTAAAACGTATTTGCTTTAATACTATTACATAAATCTCATTCTTGTTTCATTCATGTATGACTGATAAATATTCATCATACTGTTTATTAATATTAAAACGGTTTAATCCAAATGGATGGAAATTTTATAAATTAAATTTTAAAATCTTGAATATATAAGCCTAAATATTTTTAGAGCAATGGTTTATAATTAACTGAAGTAACAATGAATAAAAAACTTTAAAATGTATTGTTCATTGCTAGTTCCTGATACCTAATGCATTAACTAATGTTAATTAATTGAGCCTTAATGTAAAATGTCAAGTTAATCTAAAGAATAATGTGGTTGTCAGGATATTTTACAATTACTTTTTGGGGTTTCTCAAAGGAATTTCATAAAATTTTAATCAAAACCCCCCACTGTTTTAAGGAATCTTAAAAGTGTCAAATGGACATTCAACAATTTACACATTTTCCTAAATGGAAAGGAATGCTGTTTCAAAAACCTCTTTATATATTTTAAAGTCCCATTGTTACACCTTTGCAGTCCTAACTATATTCTGTTAGTATATCATAACAGGGATACTGTGTAACTTAAAAAAGAACTGTGTTTAGAGTTTGCTACGTTGAGGTAAAAATTTATTGACATTCAAAGCTAGAACAAATATAAATTTATACATACATATAAAACACATACAAATGAATATAATGGTGTTGGCAGAGCTGCGGTGGAGATATTCTGTGGTCACAAACGAGTAACATGGCAATGCAGAGAAAACATCAAATGCTGAAACATCTGGTGAAAGTCATATTCATGTAGTCCTGTAAAAGCACCATCAGACCAGTGATCAGCATGTGTCCTGGAGAGTATGAATTTGTCTCTCCTATTCAGTAAGTCCCGACCTAAAACGTGGCTCTTCCCTCGACTTCCACTCATCTGCATTGAATTCTGGAAAGAAAAATGAAATCTCTCTCTTGGCAGATTCAACTGAATCTGAAAGGAAGAAAATGTTGAAACTTTAGAATAGTAGAATATTTTTATCATTTAAAACATTTAAGAAATTAGTCTTTATTTTGTCAAATCTATGTTATGGTTTAGGATTTATTTAGAGTTTTAAAACAAACACTCATTAGGCCTTTTCTAGAGAGGTTATTAACCGTTTAGCCAGTTAAAGGAATAGTTGACCCAAATATGAAAATTTGCAGAAAACGTACTCATCCTCAGATCATCCAAGATGTAGATGAGTTTGTTTCTTCATCACAACAGATTTGTAGAAATTTAAATCACTTGCTTCCCAATGGATCCTCTGCAGTGAATGGGTGCCGTCAGAATGAGAGTCCAAAGAGCTGATAAAAACATCACTAACAATAATCCACAAGTAATCCATACAACTCCATCAATTAACATCTTGAGAAGTGAAAAGCTGCATGTCTGTAGTAAACAAATCCACCATTAACATGTTTTTAACTTTAAACCGTTGCGTCCGTACTGGAGGAAGCGGTATTATGGATAGAGGTCTTGCATTTTGTCCAGAAGTAACAGTTTCAACTTTAAAGTTATAACGCCTTATTGATGAATTTGTTTCTTATAAACATTCAACTTTTCACTTCAAAAGATGTTAATTGATAGACTGAAGTCATGTGGATTACTTTTGTTTTTATCAGTTGTTTTGACTCTCATTCTGATGGCACCCATTCACTACATAGGATACAAGCAAGGGATTTAATTGGTTGTGATGAAGAAACAAACTGATCTACATCTTGGATAGCCTGAGGATGAGTACATTTTTAGCTAATTTTAATTTTTAAAACTATTCCTTTAACTCTTAAAGGGTTAGTTCACCCAAAAATCGTGAATGACCTTCGTTCATCTTCGGAACACAATTTAAGATATTTTTGATGAAATCCGAAGGCTCTCTGACCCTCCCATAGACAGCAAGGTAACTACCACGTTCAAGGTCCAGAAAAGTACCAAGATGATCAACAAAGTAGTCCGTGTGACATCAGTGGTTCAACTGTAAAGTTACGAAGCTACGAGAATACCTTTTTGCGCAAAGAAAACAAAAATAATGACTTTATTCCACATTTTCGTCTCTACTGCGTCACTTGTGGACGCACGTTAACGACAGTACCATGATGCAGGATCACCAAAGTGACACAGTAGAGACGAAAATGTGGAATAAAGTCGTTATTTTGGTTTTCTTTGTGCAAAAAAGTATTCTCGTAGCTTCGTAAATTGCAATCCGAAGATGAACGAAGTTCTTACGGGTTTCAAACAACATGAGGGTGAGTAATTAATGACAGAATTTTCATTTCTGGGTAAACTAACCCTTTAAGTGTTCAGTTTTACTCTACCTGAACCATGAGTAGTGTTCCTGGTGTCAGTCAGCCCGTATTGGCCCCGCAGGGTGTCTGGTGAAGTGAAGCGAGCTCTAAACACTTTGGTTGGACCCATCATCCCCCTCCAGTGAGTGATAGCGTCTTCCCTGGCTAGGATGTATGCTCTCATTGGGCCACTATTGTGGGAATATAAGTGAATAGCAGGATTACACAGGGAGCTGTGACAACCTTGTGTTCGCACAGATGGCTAAATAGAATTGAATCCAAAATATATATATTTTTTCTTATATGACGTTAATAGTATATTCAGGACTAGTCACAAAAGATGAGCAGTACATGCCTAAGTGGCACTGCTGGCACACAAATGGAACTAAAACCTTAGGAATAATCAGCTTCTTATTTTTAAATGACTCTGACGTAGACTAAAAGACACAGGTCAGTTCGAGCGCTGTGGTAATGTTTTATCTTTCACAGACAAAGACATGTTCTGAGGAAAGGGTGCCATGGTAACATCACTCTCTAAGCCTCACTGTCTAAACTGGATCAACCGCTACATTAACAACGAGCATTGATGTCCCTCGCCACAGATGAGAGAACATATATCTGCATTAATTATTCTTTTTGAGAGGAAGAGCAACAGTACAGCATACAGCATCTGTAGTTTCACAATAATTTAAAATACACTACCGCTCAAAAGTTTAGGGTCAGTAACATTTTTTGTAATGTTTTAAAAGAAGTCTTGCTCACCAAGGTTGCATTTATATAACACAAAATACTGTAATATTGTAAAATATTATTACAATTTAAAACAACTTTTCTGTTTTCATCATTTTAAAATGTAATCTATTCTGAAATTATTTTAATATACTGATTTGGTGCTCAAGTTGATTTTTTTATTATCAATGTTGAAAACAGTTGTGCTGTTACATTGAATGGAGTTCAAAAAAACATTTATTTTAAATATTTATAACATTATACATTTATTTGCTGTCAGTTTTGATCGATTTAATGCATCCTCGCTGATTGAAAGTATTAACAACTTCTTACTGACCCCAAACGTTTGAATGGTAGAGTATGTGTTAATATTCAAGTAGTACACAAAGCTAAATCAAGTACATCCATTCCTTTCCACTCTTTCTGAATGCAGTGATTTAACTGCCGTTAATGAATAATGTCTGTGAACCTGTAGGATAATCAGCTCAGAGGGTAATTTGAGGAAAAGCTGTTGTCAAGACTCGTGAAGCTACAAGGGGTTAGTTACATGGTCAAACTTTGATGTCCATAAATGCATGTTCAGTCCAATAACATACAGTTTCAAGAATTTCTACAGCAGTTGTTCCTCTTCCTGGTACTATGAATAAGTTTTACCTTTATCAAATAAAACAAAAAAGATCTGCACACTGTTATTCTCCCTTTATTTAGAAATACTTAAAAGTGGCAATGTTTCGGTCAAAGACCTTCATCAGGCACACACTGTGCCTGACACAAAATTAAATTAAAATGAAACAGAAAATACACACACACATACATATATATATATATATTATCTATACATATATTATTTCATATATATTAGATCAATAGATAGATCTACAGCTTAAAGCTTAACATTATTTAATCATACATACAAATATATGTCCACAATCTTATATTCACAGGTACATAAAATTATACCTGTGAATATAAACCTCCTTCAGAGAGCCATTATATCAAATAAGTGTTTTTTTACAAAAACATTATTAACAATAAGCACTTGAATGATTAGTGGAGAAATGACAATAAACATTTACCTTGACATGAATTCAACCAGTCTTTGATAGAAAAAACGTCCTGTAAAATAAAAACAGTCAGGAATGATAACCAAAAATAAACTGCTGCTTATCTTTTATCTTTTGATCAATTTATCCACTAGGAATAAGCCAACGAGATTGATGTGGTTTATGGTTAATATGGTCTGAAAAGGCTCTTGCATACATAATAGAGACATATGAATGTGAGGCAGCTGCTTTTCTTTGGATGCAGGATATGTATAAGCTGAGACTGAGTACCATGTTCTCTCTCCACATGCTGTGTCAACATTATGTGAAGCCTTTACTATGACTCACCCTGTTTAAAATCACGCATCACACGGACACCCACCCACACATGTACTTAACCATTCGATCTGTTACAAACACAGACCTTTTTCATTCATGCAGTGGATATTATAGGAAGAATGATCCTTTTCTACCTGCATGTTCAGCATAAAACTTTTCTGAATCTTCTGCTCTCCACATCAGATCCTTCTTTCTGACAATAATGAAGTTTTCGAGAATCTTCTGATGAAGAGCCTGAAATGAAAAGAAATATTATATTCAAATGTTTCTGTGCTCCTGTGCCCATCGGCATCTCTTAAAACTAAAACTCATTGTCGGTGAAAATGCATTGCTATGCTAATGGAAGCCTGTTGCAGTTTTGCTGTAGGTCTTTTCATTTCATGTTTGCCCTCAACAACAAGACGACAAAGGATCTTAGCATAGAAATAAAAATAGTTAATTAAGAGGTTTAGTCTCGGTGGTGTAAATTAAAGCAATCAGGGCTTCAGTTTGTAAAACACGTTGCATGAGGAAATTGTTACTAATTAAAAGCACCTTCATCTCTTTTAAGCAACAGACAGCGGGAATTAAATCAGGCGAGACATTGGCTTGTTTTAATAGTAAAGACAAATGATTATGTAGCTTTAAGCCTCCACATATTTTGAGTTACAAGACATCCATCTTTCTTCATTAAAAGGGTAACATTCAGCAGGATGGGTATAGGGGAGACTGGGGCTAGTTGTCACACTTGTTACTCCAGTGAATATTGCTCATGATAGGTTTAATTTTTTTTATAGCGGGGAAAGTAACTTTATGAATTAAGCCAGGGATTCCCAAACTTTTTTGTCAGGTTTTAACCTAAAATATTTACTTGAAGTACCCCCTGAAACTTCTAGATTTATATAATACATTTTTATAATATTTCAAATTATTTTGCATTTCATACTTCACATTTGCATGTTCATAGTTCTCTGATGTTGATTAATGGTCACACGACATGCAATTTTAGTAAGTGTTTAATTTTTATTGCTCTCATTTGAATACATAATACACACAAACACACACACACATATATATATATATATATGTGTG